AGCGAAACAAGATAGTGTTGAAAAAAAAATTTTGAAAATCTGAGAGACTGTGCAAGAGCCAACGACCAAAACACTACCAGTAAGATACAGCAGTAGTAGCTGCTTCATGCTGCATTGAGTATTGTTGAATAATTTGAAGTAGTGGTTTTTGAAATCAGCACCCCTATGAGAGCGCTGGCGACCGAAACACCACTAGTAAGATTGTGTATTAGAAACTGCTTCATGCTGTGTTGAGTAAGCTTCGATGTCTTTATCAGACCACCTTTAAATTAACCACTCACATTCTCACTGTGGTCCATCTAAAATTTGTAAGCTTTATGACATAAAATTATATTATATGCAGGATCCCACCTATTACTTAATCTTTTTGGAATAAATGTTTTATAATATTTATCGATTGATTGTAATTTTTTGTATAAAAAAAGTTTTTTATTTATATTAAAAATATATTCGGTTAATGATATTATCTTATAATTTGTAAATAAATCTAGTAATAAAATAACTTTAATAGTTGGTGTCACTTTTTCGAAAATTCTGGTTTTTTCGATAGCGAAATCGCTAGACATTTTCTAAAAGATAAAAATTTTAATTTTTCTAAAAATATGTTAGAAAAAAAGTTTGCTGACATTGACAAAAAATTTGAGAATGTTTTAAATAAGAACAAGAGGAAGTTGGAAAATGCTCAGATAAAACCCATACATGACAAGTTCTTATTTGCTCAGAATGGTATAACAGGTCTAATTGCACCGCCTGGGTCGGGTAAGACTTTCACTTATCTTAAAATGGCTGCACAACAACAAGAACTAGATGAGAAGAACCCATTCTATGAGTTAGTTGTCATTTGTAGTACTTCTGGTCAATTTGACCAAACCGTCAATTCGTTCAAAGATATTATAAAGAAGTCTAAGTTAGTATGTATAAAGGATACTGAGTTGTTAGATTGGATAAAGAAGTACCAAAGAAGGGTTTTGAAGTATAATGCTATAAATGAGTATGTCAATTCGAAGTTTAAAGACCCAAATGAGGAAATGCAGAGAATATTAGAGAAGAAACACTTCAGAAACAAACAGAAAGAGATAGAATACATTTCGAAGAAATTGCAATCTTACGATTGGAAGACTTACCCTCACAGATGTCTTCTTATCTTAGATGATTTCGCCTCTCATCCTTTGTTAAAGAATAGAGAACAAGACATGTGTCGAATTCTTAAGAAGCTCAGACACTTTAACATCTCTGTTGTCATTTGTGTACAGACAGCCAAGAGTTTAAGTAAGGATGTAAAGAGAATACTTACTGACATTGTACTTTTCCCCGGATTGTCCGAAGACGATTTCATGGAACTTATGAAAGAGTCCATGGCAGGTAAGTTTGACAGACATGAACTATGGGAGAAGTACAAAGTCATACAAGACCCTCATACTTCTTTCAGAATTCATATCTACGCAAACAAAGTTCAAATTGTAAAAAGTCAAGCGTAAAAAATGTAAGTGTTTGGTCTTAGTCTGTTGTGGTTCTGCAGCTTTCGGTTCTTCTGGCTTTGGAATGGACTCGGTTGGTGGTACGTCGGACATTCGTTTGTGTCCTGTCGGAAGGAAGAGTTCTTCCAGTTGGAAGGAAAAACTTTTCCTGTTGGAAGGAAAATATTTTCCTGTCGGAAGGAAAAATTTTTCCTGTCGGAAGGAAAATTTTTTCCTGTCGGAAGGAAAAAACCAGAATTTTCGAAAAAGTGACACCAACTATTAAAGTTATTTTATTACTAGATTTATTTACAAATTATAAGATAATATCATTAACCGAATATATTTTTAATATAAATAAAAAACTTTTTTTTATACAAAAAATTACAATCAATCGATAAATATTATAAAACATTTATTCCAAAAAGATTAAGTAATAGGTGGGATCCTGCATATAATATAATTTTATGTCATAAAGTTTACAAATTTTAGATGGACCACAGTGAGAATGTGAGTGGTTAATTTAAAGGTGGTCTGATAAAGATATCGAAGCTTACTCAACACAGCATGAAGCAGTTTCTAATACACAATCTTACTAGTGGTGTTTCGGTCGCCAGCGCTCTCATAGGGGTGCTGATTTCAAAAACCACTACTTCAAATTATTCAACAATACTCAATGCAGCATGACGCAGCTACTACTGCTGTATCTTACTGGTAGTGTTTTGGTCGTTGGCTCTTGCACAGTCTCTCAGATTTTCAAAATTTTTTTTCAACACTATCTTGTTTCGCTCTCAGAAAGCTATCCTACAAAGACATCGAAGCTTACTCAACACAGCATGAAGCAGTTTCTAATACACAATCTTACTAGTGGTGTTTCGGTCGCCAGCGCTCTCATAGGGGTGCACCGAAATTCAATTGTTAATGATATCAATTCACAAATTGGAATCGAAGATCAGTATGAAATTTAAAATATAAATAAATTTTAATTATATTATTTTTAATTTTTTTAAATAAATATACATATATAAATACATACATATATACATATATAAATATATACATATATAAATATATACATATATAAATATATACATATATAATATATACATATATAAATATATACATATATAATATATACATATATAATATATACATATATAAATATAACATATATAAATATATACATATATAAATATATACATATATATATATACATATATAAATATATACATATATAAATATATACATATATAAATATATACATATATAAATATATACATATATAAATATATACATATATAAATATATACATATATAAATATATACATATATAAATATATACATATATAAATATATACATATATAAATATATACATATATAAATATATACATATATAAATATATACATATATAAATATATACATATATAAATATACATATATAAATATATACATATATAAATATACATATATATATACATTATAAATATACATATATAAATATACATATATAAATATACATATATAAATATACATATATAAATATACATATATAATATACATATATAAATATACATATATAAATATACATATATAAATATACATATATAAATATACATATATAAATATACATATATAAATATACATATATAAATATACATATATAAATATACATATAATATACATATATAAATATACATATATAAATATACATACATAAATATACATATATAAATAGTGTTTGGAAATTTAAGGTTAAGTGTCACTTTTTCGTAAATTCTACCACACTCTGTCGGAAGGAAAAACTTTTTCTGAAGTTCGACCAAAAAGTTCTCAATTTTCGAAAATTTGAATGGTTTACGACGGACAACTGGAAAAATTTTTCCTGTTGGAAGGAAAATTTTTTCCTGTCGGAAGGAAAAATTTTTCCTGTTGGAAGGAAAATTTTTTCCTGTTGGAAGGAAATTTTTTTCCTGTCGGAAGGAAGGACTTTTCCTGTCGGAAGGAAGGACTCGGAATGCCAGAAGGATTTGACAAGACAATTTACCTTATAGAGCTACCTGAGCCATCTGAAGTCAAGCTTGAAAAATAAATGGTTCATCTACTCTACTTGTTTGAAGTTGTCAAAATACTCTGTTATTTTTTCTTTCAGTAGCGGCAAATCTTCTTTGAAGGTAAGTATTGTACAACCTTTAATATCATAGTGTGTTTGAGGTAAAGTATCTTGAACTATTTGTTTCACATCTTCATTCGGTGTCATTGAAATCGGTAAGTTTTCGCGATAGAACCAATTTCTGTCAGATTTGTAAATCTTAGCAAGGTCGTAAAAGCTTTTGTTGTTTCTTCTGACTAAATGCAACATAACCATATCTCTGTCTTCTTCATTTTCCATCTCTTCAGTATAAATCATATACTTATAGTTCTTTTCCTTTCCTTTTGGTACCGAACGTGGTATTCTTTTCTGAAGGCTTTTGTCTTTTGCTTCAATGACTTCATCTTTTGCTTCAAGCTTGTTCTCTAGCTCTTCACGTTCTTGTCTATGAAGTTCATCTAACATCATGAAAATATAACAAGCGTAACGAGGTGAAGCCCACATTGCAACAGCATTTACAAGAAGTCTATGTACATACCAGCCTCTCAAACCATTTAGCAAATTTTTACGATTTTCGTACGGAATCTCGACCCGCGGTTTTCCTCGGGTCGCAAACATATGAGGAAATTCTTCTAAAAGTTCTTTTGTCTGTTGGTTTTCAAACCAATGATGTGCTTGCTTTGTAGAACGAAGAGCATTCAAAATACTTTGCATTTGGTACATGTCATCTTTGACCGAACGAATGAGACGTAACTGTTTGTTATACTGAACCCACTCGTATTCTTCATTTATAGCTTCATGAACGATAGCAGTTGTTGTGTTCTCTGTTGTTGACATTACTGTCTTTACATACAAAATAAAAAAAATATTTTATAAAAAATTAGCGTTATTTTTTTTATTTTGTATAAAAGATATGATTTCAGGGATTTTTTTTACGAAGTGCAAAAGTTCACTTCGTAAAAAATAACAGTTATATAATGAAAAAGTGTCATTTTTTCATGTCCGAAGACTCGAAGGTGCAACACTTCCAAAATACCGACGAACTCAGAAGAGCAGCATGGCAGTATCTTCTTGACAACTTCTTTGAGTTCTCCAGGTACACCTTGGAAAATGCTGAAGAACTCCGACACAGAGAATTTGGAGAAATTGCACTCCAATACTACCTTGACAAACAAAGGGTAAAATAAGACTAAAAACTTAACGTTTAAAAAGTGACATTTTTAATGAGCTCCGAGTCACCGAGAAAACTTGGTCAGATGTTAGCAGCTTACTTCCCTGAGGAGGATGGAAGCGTTACATACGTAAGGTTCAAAAACAACGAACCTGGAATTGCGTACCAAATTCGCAATTACATGACCATGGAAGAGTACGAAAGGTTCCTACAAGAGAAACCAGCTCTAAACAACTCAGAAAAGAAAGAATAAAAAGTTTAACTCGTAATTGTTTATTTTTTTACTTGTATGGGCAAGCTGCAAGAATGAAGTCGACTATCTCAGTCTTTGTCTTGACGAGCTGGACGGCTCTTGCGAGTACATCTGTTTTGCGGTCTCCAGCTGGTGTCTGACCTTCGTAATTGCGCATGTTCTTGAGAGCTCCAACTGTAAATGATTGTAGGATGAAGAGTCTCTCAGACTGCTTGAGGTAGTCTTCACGGTCACGAACCGAATCTGTGGTACGAGTCGAATCGGTCGATTTGAGGGAAGAGACTGAAAGCCTGTCGTCTTCCATTGGAGCTGTAGCATACTCTTTGCGTAAGCGGTTCAGACCTTCTTCGAAGTCTTGGTCTCTCTTCGATTGAGATTGGAATTGGAATTGCTGGGGTGGAGCTTGCTGGAACAACCAAGGGTTGGGGAAGTAAGGCATAGGTTGAGGAGGGTAGTTCGGGAAGCCTTGTGGAGGGTAGTTCGGGAAGCCTTGTGGTGGGTAGTAACCTTGAGGTGGAAATTGGTAGTAATTTGGTGGAGGTACTTGCTGGAACTGAGGTTGTTGTGGTTGCTGCTGGAGTTCTGCAGCTTTCGGTTCTGCTGGCTTTGGAAGGCATTCAGGAAGAGGAACGTCAGTCATCCGTTTGTGTCCTGTCGGAAGGAAAATATTTTCCTGTCGGAAGGAAAAACTTTTTCTGAAGTTCGACCAAAAAGTTCTCAATTTTCGAAAATTTGAATGGTTTACGGACGGACAACTGGAAGAACTTGGAATGCAAGAAAGACTTGACGAGGCAATTTACCTAATTGAAATTAACGACTGCTTAAAAGACTACTTGCGCAAGGTAATGAAGCCCAAGGTCAAGTTCATCTCTATTTCTGGAAGGTCTACACTTCAGCTCGAGACTTCGACTGGAATTCCAATTCAAATACCAGACGGGACAGCCTACGATGGCATAAAGGACGCCAAAAGAGAAGCTCTTGTTAAGTTCCTAAACAAACGTCCTTGGATAAAAATACCAAACAAGGAGAACCCCCTACCCCATATGAAATTGGCAATTCAGTCTCTCCTTCACTTCTCAGGACAGCCATTCTACATAACCTGTGAAGGCGACATTCAGCCAGTTCAGTAAACATATACATGGCACGCTTTGAGTAAAAACATTTTTTCATTTTTTGAATGAAGCAAGTTAAATTCGTCCCACACCAAACTCAATGGACCGATGAAGAGTTTCAAGCTATGGTTGAAGGTGTTGAGAACGACATAGACGGCGAACTTGAAGGAGCTCAAATCACAATTGCAACCAAAATTGCAGAAGTCAAGGAACAGATAGCTCCACTTAAAGCTACCAAAGCTACTCTTGACCTCATGGATAGTTACCGTTTAGATGTCAAGAGTGGAATAAGACATTTAAAATTAAAACTTCTAAACTACGAAGCTATACTCCAAAAGTTAGCAGAAATGAGAAGACTTTACCAGAGCTACTTACATGTAAGGGACTTACCTTCAAGCAGTCCGACCAAAGATGAATTTGTTGACATTGTCCCAATTTTGTCCGAAAGTCAGCTCAGATGTTTCGAACTGCTCCCAACATATCCAGAATATGAACGTTTGCCTGAACTCTTCCGCAATCTCAAAAAACGTTTTTTGGTTCTCATGTTCGAAACTTTTATCGGAAGAGACAACAAACGTTCAGAAGAAGAACAAGATATTATTTTAAACTTGTTGTATGACTTAACCGTCATAACAAGCTTTTTGAAGTAAAACCGTCATTCTCAAACCACTTCATTTTTTCGATGTCCGAACAAGCACCAAAGCCAAACTCAATGGCAGATGTCCTTTCAAGGTTGCCAGACAAGCGCCCAGTTCAAATTCAAATTGCCCAATTGAACGCTCATCTGTCAAACACCATTAAGACTCTCCAAAGTAGTCTTATGGAAGAGATAACCAATCTCAAAGTCGAAGTCCTCACGAACCAAGCTTCCAATAAGAAAGTCCTGAACGATTTCGCGGAAACCTTGCGCCAATACAACATAGAGAACCAAAACCTTGCCAGACTCATCTACCGTTTCTTCGAAGAGATAGACACCATCTGGAAGGTACTCGGAAAGGACAGAACATGCAACACCGTACTTCGTGAGTACCAAATTGAAGAAGGAATTTTCGAGGAAGAAGAGAAACACGAAGAAGAAGAGGAAGAAGAAGAGAAACACGAAGAAAAGGAAGTTTGGGCAACCCTTGTTGCCGATGACGGTTACGAAATTTCCCAACCCTACCCATACAAAATCCGCAACAAGGAGACAGGCAAGGTTCTTACCCCAGTCCTCAACAACTTGGGACACTTGAGCCTTACCCTTCGGAATTACGGTTCAATTTCCATGGGAAGGCTTGTCGGTATGCAATGGGTTCCAAATCCAAACAAGAAGACGAAGGTCAGACACATTGACGGTGACAAGCTCAACAACCGTAAGGAGAACCTCGAGTGGTTCTAAGAGTAAAAAAATTTTATTTTAGGGGGAAACCCCGAGTAAATTTAGGTGTTTATTTAGATAAGTAGGTTAAATTAATGGTAATTTGTAAAATTAGTTCCCGACCTTTGAATTGGGCTCTTTCGTTATCCCAGTTGCGTAGGAGGTCGTCCCAGAGGAGTTGGTAGAATTGCCAATCCAAGGACGATTTGTCCTCCCAGGCATTGAGGATGTACTGCTCGTAGAGTTTCATGACCTCTGCCTTGCACCAGACACCCTCTCCCTTGGAACGTAAGGCTTCTTCGAAGTGCTCGAATGCGATTGGCTGCTTGACCATCCGAAATGACACTTTTTGTCCGTTTGGTCAATGTTCGTGTCTCGTGCCATAGTCGACGAAAATACAGACAAACAGGTTATATATGAGTTTGAGACCAAGAATGGTGTAACTCGACCTGTCCGATTCAAAGACTCCGAGGGCGACCATGAAATTAAACGGAAATTAGCTAGGAAGGAATATAAAATGGACTGGTTGCCACCACCTCCACCTCCACCACCTTTACCTGTTCCTCAAGTAAATAAGCCTTTCACGTTCCCAAGAATTCCCACATTTAAATTCAAATTCGAATAAAAATTTTTTATTTCATGCAATGTTTAACTATTTCACCATCTTCTTTAACACCCCAGTACTTACGCTTGGAGAGGACATGAACTTCGGTGAAAATTTTGTCCAATTTGAATTGACCCATCTTTTCACCGACCATTCCCATTTCAATGAGTTTGTTGTATCCTTCTTCGTTCGTCATGAGTGCGTCAATGTTCTCATAGTAAACCTTGACTTTGGATTTGACTTCGGAGAAGAATTTGTTGTAGTTGTCAAGGACTGCCTTTGCGAACTGAGGGTAAGACCAATGTTCGACAATAGGTTTTAATGTGGTTACTAAGCCACTTTGACCTTGAGTGAATTCGTACTTCAAAACAAAAGGAGAAAACCTTTCAACAAAGTTGTCGACCTTCTCATAATGTTTACTCTTCATCTCTTGAGGTTTCTTAATGGAATATCCCCATGTCGAATTCATAAGCAATTTGAGTGTCATTGCAAGTTTGGGGTTTGAAGCTTTCCTAATATCATACAGTTGTTGTATGACTTTTCCAACTGTATAGTTCCTTCCCGGGAACTCACCATCTTCGTTTGGAATTCCAGTCGGAATATATTGGACAAACCTCATGTATGCAGCGTTAAGGTCGACATAGTATATTTTTCATCTGAGTCGAACTTGTCGCAACCAATTGGTCCAGTTTGTGGAAATTCAAGTGAGTCTCTTATCTTCTGAGAAACTTCTCCTGTTATCTCATAAACATCGTCGAAGCAACCTGTTTCATATAAAACCTTCTGACCTAACTCAGATGCTCTCCAATACAATTTGACGTCAATTGGATGTCTCAATGGAAGTTTGTTTATAGCATCTTGAAGTTCTTGCAACCTCATTGGAAGTTCTTCTGGTTCAGGTTGGTATCCGAACAATCCAACTCCTTGTGGAATTGTGTACTTCTTTTGTACTAGAACTTTGTCTGGAACAACTTTTGGTCTTGCTAACAGTGAAAAGTTTGTTTCGTCTTTTGGTACAAAAGTTTCTGTCAGCTTGTCATCTGGAATTGGTTCCAACAAACCTTTCTCGAAAAGAATGTTTACAGCTCTGACAATGTTGCACTTGCCTTTTCCGAACAATGGGTTTGTAAGACTTTCGTTCAACATGAAGTGGTTGTGGACAATTACAATCTTCAACCATGGCAATTTGAAGTCAACAACATAGTCGTCATGTGAAGAACCTTTAGCTGTAGGTATTTGACTCGGATATTGACATTTGCCAACGGTGCAATTTTTGCCAATTGACCTCTGAGAATGTACCTTGTCTTCACACATGACTCAAGATACTTCATCTTCTCATCTGTAACAAGACCAGAGTTCCTGAGACATGTAAGAATGCAAGGTTCATTGACAATTGTTTCAATTGAATTGTAAATTCCATACCTTGTCAAGTCAATGTCAGACTTATTTCTGAAGGGGAAGTATCCAGCATGTTGTCTGACTGCTTGAGGGTTAGGTTGGTACCATTCGAACTTGACACTTGCAATTCCTTCAATTGCATTCAAAATGTCTGAGTCGGAGTCAACCATTTGTTCTCTCTTTGTAGTCTTGAAAGCGTCAAGAAGCATTGCAGCTGTTGTGACATTGCCATATGCATAGTAAATGTGACCATCCAAATCTGTTATGGTCAATCTGAGATTGTGTCCTTTCTTATTTCCGTCTTGTATGGCAGCAAGTACACCCATGAAGCCTTCTTTGTTCTTTCCTTCGTCAAAGTTTACTGTAAAGGTTCGACCAGATGTAATTTGACTTCTAACTTCACGGTACTTCTCATATGCATATCTTGTTCTTTCCATGGGAGCATGACCATCCTCTGCACTACCTTTTTTCCTTCTCAAAGGATGCAATTGTTCGTCATGTTTCCAGTAGAATCTGGCAAAGCCGTCGTGTCCTTCAACTTGAGGTTCACTAACATCGAAAGGCATGTCCATAAGACGTTCTTCTTCTAACCTCTCTAGTCTGTTTGGATAATTTGCACGTGCTGTTTCCAAATCCATTTCGTAGCGAAGACCAGACAATTTGTCATAGACTTTTATGGGTCTTCCCTTCTTATATTTAAACTTCTTCGAAACTCTCCAACCATAACTTTGCAACTCTGCTTTTATTCTAGCAGATTTTCTATCCATTCTATATGGGGGCATTTTTATAAAAATAAAAAAATGTTTTTTTCTTTACTTTACATAACCGCCTGCTGCCATAAGTCTTTGACGCCAACCCATACCAGCTAATGAAGGTTGACTTGGTTTAGTTTGGAAACTAAACTTTGGTTTTGGTTTATCTTCAGTTTTTGGTTTTTCTTCTTCTATCGGTTTTTTCGTCACTTTTCGGTTCCTCTGACTTTACTTCACTTGCAGGAACAGTTGTGTCGTCAACATCTTCATAAATATCATATGCCATTTGTTTTTGTTTTCCTTTCAACTTTTTGTGTTTGTTGTAAAGTTTAGAATATTTCGACTCTAAGTCAATGAGATGTTCTATAATGAACTGTTGGTCAGTGAAGTAAACTTTTCCATCTGTTGTCTCGAAAGCTCCTTCAGACTTCAATATTTTATTTGTGAGAGTCTGTTTCTTTTTTGAGATACTAGCCGTTCCATTTTTATGAAAAGTGACTTTGTAGTTAGGGTTTGTATTTCCAGACCTGGCACTTTCTATTATTGAATTTTTCTCTTCATCTGTAAGTTCTTTGACAGGTTTTGACAAAGGTTCTGAACTTTTTGTTTGTGGTGTCAAATCTACCGTTTCAACTTCTTCGGTATTTCATCTCAGTAAAAAATTTTAGTTTGGTTTGTTTTCAAACTGGTTGTTGTTGTTTTTTAAGTCGGTCTAAAACTTCTGAGGTATAGGAAGAACTTGACAAACACGTGGTGTAACTGCTGGAAGCCGACAAATCCATCTTGAACCCATTTGTCTCAATGCTGTATTGTTCATTTCATCTCAGTAAAAAATTTTACATTCCCAAGTTTGAGGTGGTTGCGGTTGGTTATTGTTTACCCACTGTTTGTGCATGGTTATATCCTCTGTTAAAGAATCTTTCACCTTGGTCCATATAGTGTCCTGCTTGGTTATAGTAGTCATTTGCTTTGTTATAATAGTTTCCTGCTTGTCTTCCTACATTGTCCATCCATCCTTGAACTTTTCCTCTTGTTTCAGGATTTGGAATAAGATTTGTTGCATCTCGTGCTACATCCCAACCTTTCTGTACAGTTTGTATAATAGGTTGTGCTTTCTCTTTAAGTATACCTAATGTACTCAAAATCTTCCTTCCAACTCCAAATACACCTCTGGCTATTGTTCCCACTGCGGGTAAAAATCTGGATGCAACTCCTGCTAACGCGCCAAATAAACCCATTTCTTATGGGTTAAAAAATGACGAATCCAAACAAGGACCCCTATGTTTCTAAGGCAACAAAGAAAGCACTCATGATAAAAATCTTTAGTTCAACACCAAATGCTTGGTTTATGGATATCTTGGAAAACATTCCGAGGTATAGAGAAGATGGACCTCCATACTGGCTAATATTTGTTGGTCAAAACACAAGATACTGTGAAGCCATACCATTATGGTCCAAAAATATTTTAGATGTGAAAACTGCTTTGACAATATTCGTTGACAAATACCATCCAACAAAACTGACATCTGACTGTGAAAGTTCTTTCAAATCAGACGATATTAAAAACTATCTGCGTTCAAAAAATGTAAACCAATATTTCATTGTCGACCAAAACCATTCTGCTCTTGTGTCATTGACGGTTGTATAAAAATGTTAAGAGACTTAAACCAACCACAAGGTGGTGAAGCAAATGAAATGTCATATGACGACAAATATAGACACTTCTCCATGGCAAAGATGAGACAAGTTTTAAATATTTACAATAACCGTAAACAAAAAGGTTTGGGAAACCACTCCCCCGAAGAAATGAAAAACAATCCTGACTTAGAGAAAGACTATATATTTAATAATTTAGTCAAAAGAGACAAACAAGAAAGAATGCCGGGCTTCAAACTTCAGAAAGGTGACAAAGTAAAAATAGAAATACCTAAACGCGACCCATATGAAAATACTATTGACTATGACAACAATGGGAACCCGACAGGTACTCACATTCGTGTTCGTAAAATAGAAGAAAGTATACAAGAGAATATTATGAAGTTTTAGGCAAACATGGCAAAATGTACACACTGCAAGCAGAAGATAAAACTACTATTGCCAGACCTCGTTTCAAACTTGTCAAAGTTCAAGGTGGTATACTTTCAAAGACAGTTCCTAACAAATATAAGACAACTCCTGACGAATATGCTAAAGAAGTTGAAAATGACGACTAAGCATTTCTATACCATGCGTAAACTGTCATGTAAGGTGGCATGTAGTCTTTACTTTGTCCCGTTGTTTGCGTATATCCTGAAACGCGATGTGTATGGTTTCCTCCTCCTCAGTGTTACTCCAGTAACAATTTATAGCAAACTTAACGTTGTCTTTAACATCATATCCTTTACCTTTTGTCATTGCTGACCAATCCCAATATCTATGCTTATGCCAACCTGCTTGAGATGTACTTAAATCTATGTAGTGACTGTGTGCAGGTAAATTTTCACCTGAAATCGTTTTACTTCCACCTGTTTCCTTTGAAGAGTTTGCACAATACAAAAACCTGTCGACTATTTGAGTCCAAGTTCCAAAACCCAGAACTGTTTCTGGTCTGGTAGAGTTCATTGACGTATAAATAGAGCCTATAGGATATAATGTTTGAAGTATTTCTGTCTTTAATGTTTGAAGCTCTGTTTTGTCTGCTTTCTTGTCTAACATTGCGGGTAGTTCATGTGCTTCAAAGTTTCTGGCATGACTTTCAATGTTCCTGCAACTGTTATCTAAACTGTTTAGTGTATCTTTTACGCTTGTACTCGGATTTTCTAATGGTGCACTTGAACCAAGGTCAAAGTTCAATATTATGTCGTCTGCTCTAACAGTTGTAAAACTTGTATGTGTATGAGTCTTATTTGATTTCTTCTCTAACTCATCGTTAACATAAGTTTTATCTGCTTTAAGGTCTAAACATCCTGAAACCCATCCTGTATCAGCTTTAGTTTTTAAAATCTTCGATGTCCATTCATGATACCATTCAGCCCTTTCTTTAATTTCATTATCTTTTTCATCCACATATTCCTTATCTGCTTTCTTCTCTAACTTACTAGCCACATATTCCTTATCCGCTTTCTTTTCAAGGCTAACGTTTAAGTCTGTTATTTCAGATATAGAATGTGTATGAGTCTTTTTAGAATATTCGTTTTCAGCTCTCGTCACTTCACTTGACATTTTATTGTCAACATATGTTTTGTCTGCTAGTTCAGGATGAGTATGTTCTTTTGTTGCATAAGCATTGTTAGCTCTTTCTTCTTCTTTTGCTATTGCATCGTCTACATATTCTTTGTCAGCTTTGTTGTCAACATCTGCTTTCAAAAGAAGTTCATTTATAGGCTTCTCGTTTAAAGTTCCTTTTGTTGGATTTATACAGACAGTATTGTTCTTCTTGTCTTGAAATAGAAACTCATCTGTTAAAGGGTTTAATGTCAGTTTTAAGTTTCCTTCTTTCAATGACTCAGATATCTTAGAATAGTTTGAAAAGTTTGTTGTGTTCTTATTTAGAGCTTGCAAAATGAGTTATCGGTTGTGTTTTATTTCTCTCATAGACGCTGTTTCATTTGACATTTTTATTCTAGATAAAATATGCTTTCAATAGAAAAAGAAAATTCAAGAGTTGCTACAACTAAACCATTAGATGAACTTTTTACGAATGTCGGTCAAAAGTTTGAGACAGAGACCGTAAAGCATGAAGGCTATCGTTTTGACTACCCGTTAAGATGGCTAAGAGACCCATCTGTCACAAAAGCTATTGGCTTTCGTAGAATGAAGTTCATTTCAGAAGCCATACATGGTTTCCCATTTACGGTCGGTTTGAAGTTCGATACTATAACAAAGAAAAACGTACGTATGAGAAATTTGAACAGGGAAAACTTTTACAAGTGAATTTGCTTGTAAACTTAGAAACAACTCTTCAAGCTTTTCAAGAAAAATAAACGATATCTATCTCGAATATGCAAACCAGTTAACATTGACGAAGGAGAGTACCATCTCGATATTATATATGACAGGAAAAATGCAACTGTTAAAATCAATAGAATAGAAGACCTTGGAGAAAACGTTTATATTTCTACAAAATATAACAACTTGGCATGGTATAGATTTTGAGGATGTTAAATCAGCCTGCAGAATATCCAGTACACCCGGACTTTTATGAAGTCGAAAACCCTAATGGAACATATGAAAATATGTTTCGACCAAGATGCTATTATAGTTCATGCTTCATTTTCTGGTGCACAAAAACTCTTTTTATGCTTGGCAAATGACTTTTACGAAAAACCTACAAAGCTATATGAACCACCGAGTGGAAGTATTTCAGACTTTCAAGTATGGTTTACACAGATGGAAGAAAGAGAATAGTTCCATTATACCATGCGTTTTACTTAGAACTTAGTTTCATATACAACAACTACTATCGAACGTAAAAATATAATTTTTAATACGGTTGAGGTGTTGGATTTGGTTGCCAACTAGACTGTGGTGCAGGTTCAGGCTGTTGTATAAACAGGAGCTTGTTCTTCTGGTTCAGGTCTTTAGGTATAATACCAACAAAACTGACCTACTCTTTTACCAATATTTTGATCCGTTCCAAATTCCTCTTCCTACGGTTTTTATTCCATTCCATATACCTCTTCCAACATTTCGAAAGAAGTTTCCTATCTTACTGAAGAAACCCATTTTACTATATGTAAAATCTAATGTCCGCCTAGTCTTTTGCGTTTCCTGTTGAGTTCCATAGCATTCTTTAACTGGAGCTCATACATTCTGTTTCTCCTCTGGTAGAAAACATATTCTGGGTCAACTCCTGTGTTCGCGTCATCTGCATAAAGTTGTTTATATCCCACTTCAGGGTTTGTATAAAACTCTTTCCATCTCATATTTGATACCATGGTGGCAAATCTAACGCAGCGTCATTTGACATGGCAGTTGCATTTGTACATCTGTTGGCACTTGACCATAGTTTGCCATTGCAGTTTGTATTCTAACTTCATTTGGAATATTCTCTGGGTTTGGTTGTCCAGGTTGCTGTGCATTCGCTAAGTTCTGTGCGTCCATTTAATATTAGATAAAATATCTCTTACGAGTACATATACTGAACATTTACAGGCATTGGTTCATCTTATATTCTCTGTACTTTTCTGCCACGTTCAAATAAATAAATGACACAATGGAAAAAACCTAAAACAAGTAGTCCTATTTCAAACCACATTTACTTACTAATAAAATTTCTTTGTTATGACACTTTCTCCGGTTTATAGGACCTCTCTCATATTCTATCTTGTCATATCTAAACTCATAGTCATGTATGTCCTAACCATCTCATAACGGTTTCCAAACCACTTTTATCGGATGTAAAGTAAAAGCATGGACAGTTATGTAAAACGTCTAAAGTTTCTAAAGAGTCTCTCAAAGTCCAGTCTACTTGGTATTGAAAATCCCATGTGTTATAGAACGGCGGTCCACTATAAAGAAAACATTTTCCTTGTCTTTATATTTTTCATACAACTCTGTCCAATAACATCTCACAAACTCTATACCTCAATATATTTTTCTATGTCCTCTTTGAAAACATTTGTATAGTTAAGATATAAAACTTTTGACATAAGTGTTTCAATGTCATGAACTCTTATAGAACCACTATATAATAGTCTAGCAGATATACTATCCCAGTCTATATATTCTGCTTTTTTCAAAACCTCTCTCACAATATTTTTCTTATCTAATGGTATACGTTCCATCTTACCTATAGGTATCTTTTCTTTCAACTCACTCAATATTTTGTTTGTGTCTGGTATATGTTTGAGACGGTCCATATAGTTGTCGAAGTCATTGCATATAATCTTTGAGTCTGGGAATAATTGTATGGCACAAATGGGATATATAGAAACTTCCACCGAACAAATCTACAAATGTTAGACCATTCGGTAGTTTCTTAAGTTCTCTCAATAGAATATCTTTACATTTACTCTTATTTCCAAAGAACGGTAACGGTGGTTTTGTAAAATTCATTTATATATAATAATAAAAATGTTTTTCCTGAAAAGTGACAGAAAAGTGACAAAACATGAAAACATATATAATTTGTGAAAAGCTCCTGGAAGACCCGTATATAAGAACTTCATTTATACTAAACATCTTCAGGGCTAGAGTGCGCAACGCGCCTGGAAGCCCTCCGAATAAAAACTTCATTTATACTAAACATCTTCAGGGCTAGAAGGGGCGCAGCCCCTGGAAGCCCCACTACCTTTTTTTTTTACAGGCTTTTAATCTTTTACTTTGGAATAACTGAGAGCATTATTAAAAAAAAAAAAAAAAAAAAAGGTAGTGGGGCTTCCAGGCGCGTTGCGCCCTCTAGCCCCGAAGATGTTTAGTATAAAGCCGCTTTTTAACTTCACTTAAAATGCCACGTAAGCTACGTAAGAATATACGTAAGAGGAAGAGAGCATTGAAACATCCAATAGTAAGACTGACACCACAACAACAGTTGCAACAACAAATGCTGAATGACCCCACTATGTTGCAACAAATGTCAAGCAATCCTATGCTTTTAACCGAGTCATTGGTGCACAGAGTGGAGGTTTAAGAGCGGCACTTTTAGCGAAATGGCAGGCTATGGTGGAGCTGCAGACGGAACAGCATATAACCCTCAAGTCAAATGAATTTGAGTTTACTCAAAAATCAAATATCAGATGTCAAAAAGTCAAACATAGACATACAGAAGCAAATAGGTGAAAACGAAAAGAAACTAGAATATGACAGACACACAAAGAAACTCATGAGTTAAACGTAGAGAAAAAGAAGAAAGAAGAACAACTGAAAGAACTAAGTACAGAGGAATATGCGAAAAAAAGTGTCAGAAAAGCAACAGAAGTAGCAAAAATGGAACAAGATGTCATAAATTTGAAAAACCATACTACTCGATATAAAATACTGAAAGATGAAGAGATAAAACAAAAAAGCCCTGAAGACATATATGGATAGCGATGAGTATAAAAAGGAAGTTGAAGCAAATGTAAGGCAGAAAAACTTTTACAGTTGCAAAACCAAACCGTACAGTATGAAAACTTAGCACAAGAAAGTAAAAATAACGACGCAGCCATGCAAAAGGCAATGAAAAGCGCAGAATATATAAAAGCTAACAATGACTGGTTAGATGCCCAAGCCAAACGCTAAAGCAGCCCAGCTTATAGGGTCAATAAGGACAAAAAACAAGCGGATGAAGACAGTTCAAATGAAGCTTTAACGAATGCTGACTTTAAGAACGCCTTCGAAGCTCTTCATAGTAAGGTGAAACAAGTGAACGACTTCTCATCTGGAAAGAAACTGAAGTCTGAAGGTTTCGACAAAGAGTTAAAGAAGTAGCACAAAATATGACGAAAATAACAGATGCAGCAACGAGACAGGCAGTTCAAAGTGCCTATGACGCCGTTAGAGCAACTGTTGTGAAAAGTCAAGAAAAAGAGTTACAACAGACCAAACAGACCTAGTAAATGCTTTCTTAAAAACGAAAAGTCAGGTAGGACATTACGCTGCAGATGGAACATATGTGCCAGCTGGTGGAACTTATAACCAGCTGGTGGAACTTATATACTAGCTAGTGGAACTTATATACCACCAAACCCTCCAAGAGAAGCACCTGCACCAGGACTACCTAAAACATTTACATCGTCACATGGACACAGACATAGGCATGCACCAAAACACACACAACCAAACACAACCACAGTTCAAAACCCTGCACCTGCACCACCTCCACAACCAGCACAGCAACCAACAGTTCAAACCCTGCACAACAACAACCACAAACAGAGCAAGGACATAAAAGAAGTAGAGAACAAGGAAACCAAGAATTCTTAAAAAGGCTTAAGGAAGACTATGGTTACCCAGATAGTATTGACTTTAGTGACAGATATAAAGAAGCTATTCGAAAGTTCAAGGATGGAAATACTGACCCGAACCTATTTAGCTTTATGGTTCAGCACAAATCGGATATAATTTCAAACCTGGAAAATACAAGCTCGCTAAGGGATATGATTTAATAGCATATCATCCAAATGACATGACTGAATTTACTCCGAGATATTTGATGTCAGAGCTAAATGACAATTCAACTCCCGTCATGAAACGCGTAAAAATAGAGACGGAACGAAAGAAGAAAGGTTTTTGAGTCCGGATGACTTAGAAAGGGAACTTGTTAAAAACGGTCTCGGAATATATGAAATGCCAGCAGATGAGGTACAAGAAACTCCACAGGAAGAAATAGTTCAGATACAACCAGACATGGAAGAAATAGTTCAGCAACAACAGCTAGAAGAGCCTGAAGGAAACGAACAAGTCCCTCCTTTGGAAACTAACTTCACAGAACTAGATGAAGATTTGGAACAGCCGAAAAATCTTGACCTCAACAAGAGTATGCGGAGAATATGGAATATTTTCAAGAGTCTAAAAAAAATTCGGCTGACATAGTAGAAGAATATCGAAAAATGTTTGCCGACATACAAAGACTCCAACACCAGATGAAAATATTCAGCATAGAATGGAAGTACTGAAAGAAAATGTACACAAATACAACAACCCTTTTACTTACGAGCATTTAACGTTCAATCTTCGGATGAACTCGGTGAAAATAAAAGGTTAAATTTCAAGAAAACATATAGAAATGAAACATTGTTTAAAGTTCATTCAGAACCTAACCAAGATGGAAAAAACCTACTTTTGTTTCTGCAGACGATGGAACTACAATGAGATGGGGTCATAAAGCTAATCCGGATAGGTGGTTCATAAACTTACAACCTCAATTCCAAGAAGTTGTAGACGCAATGGAATTGAATGGTGAACGAGATATAGCTGGTATTTTAAGCGCGGCTTTAATGCCATTGAAAGATATGAAACATGCAGATATTTTGGACCAGTATGAAAATGAACATGGCTGATGGAAATATAACACCTGACGTTCTAGAACATTTATCTCAAAGAACTACACAGAACCATAGAGATGGTATATTTGGTGAAGAGTTTAGAAAGAAAGTTAGGGAGAGAGAAGGAAGAGAACCTATTGTACATGACCTTGCAAAGAAAGTTTACAAAATGTCATAAAAACTTACTTTGCAGACAATGAACCGAGAAGGGATGAATATTTAAGAAAACTCAAATGGACAGTAACCAAATGAAATGTTAGTATTGAAAAACATGTTCCTTGACAAAATAAAACAACTACAGAAATAAATGACGCAAAACTGAAAGATTGGGTAAAAGCTTTCCATTCACAAAAGATATTGTTGGTAACATGGAAAGAAAACCAGAATGGCTACAAAAACATATATTTGGAAACGAGCTTATTCCATATGGACAGGCACTGTTTGAAGAGCTTGAACCGGAAACTCAGGAAAGAGTCATGCAAACAATACGCGAAGACTCAAATACAAACTATGACAAACTCTTTCTAGGATATAGGTTACCTGAGATGGGCGACCAGAGCCCAAAGGCAAAAAGGACATGGGAAATTTACAACATACTAGGTGAACATGAGGCAAAGATGCAACAACTTGAAGCAGAGGGCAAGTTACCAAAAGCGACACCAAAGAAGAAGAGAAGAGTAGAACAAAGTGAAAGTAGTGAAGAAGTAACTTCATCTAGTGAAAGTAGTGGCAATGAAGGAAAAAGAAGAGTTAAAAACTCAGTCAGGAAGAAAGTAAAGCTTGGTCCACGTGGGTTCTATTATGACATATAAATCCAACTATTCTATATTTTTACCCATATGAAATGTACGCCGCTCAGAATATAACGCCAACAGTTTTGGATGCCATGAATGGAAATGTTTCCGAATGGTATAACGAATGCGACAATGCCATTAGAAGGTCAGAAATAGTTCCTGGAACTTACGAATATACAACTGCTGTTTCTTATGGAAACGTAGGTGAGTTTGGAGAAGGTTCTTCAACAACAGTAGATATTGCTTGCGACAGGTTTCATATTATTTCTATTGACAACTCTTTCTTATACGTGGAACAAGACATTGAAATAAAACCTTCTGCCAAGTTGTCTGACAAGAAAGGTTGCAATGGAATTTTCTATGTCGGATACCAATATGCTCCAGAAGTTTTCATGGGATTATTAAGATATATTCTAACTCTGACTTAGTTCAAACAGTAACATGGGCAAACTATGAATGGTTCGCTTTAAGAAACTCAGTACAACCACAAGCTAGAGAACAAACAGACCAGTATGCAACTATTGAGAAAATAAGAAGACTTGACCCTAACGTTCCAGGAGTTTATGTTAACCTTTCTGGTTCAGATGGAAATGCTGTCACTAAAGTAAAATTGAAACTTAGAGTTCCTTTGTCATCTTTCCTCACTTCAGGTTTTTAAGATACTTGCCAAACTGGGCAGGAAAAATTTCTAATCGAACTTACTCCAAGCAAAAATAACTTAGTCATTGCACCACAAGACCCATTCACTCTTACTGTAGCTGGAACTGGTGGAGCCAAGTTCTGTGACTTTTGCAAAGACAAAGTTGACTTAAACTTTGGTTTCTCAAACCTCAACACTGAAGTAAACTATTATTCAATGCTGCTGGAACTGCTTGGGACCCAGTTAAGTTCACATGCGAAAAGTTTGAATGCAAGAGAATAGAAAGCAGACTTGCAGTCTATATGTTGGACCCAGATATTTCAAATGCTTTAGCTGCCAAATATATTGCAGTTCCACTTATGTTCCCTATACACCAAATATCTGTCAAAGACTTTGCAGGTGAAGTTGGAAACCAAAGTGCTGAACCAGGTGCAAGAACAGATATTGCCTTAACAACTGCAATGAAACATGCAGATACTATGTTTGTACTGTTCAGACGAACTATAAATGACTATTCTTGTTTCTACAACCCTGGTATTAAATATCATATAAACATAGATGGCAAATATTATCCAAGAGAAGAATATTCTACAGTTGAAGATATGAGGTCATACAACTTGACATTAGATGCTATGAACTTTAACAACAACTTCACAACAACCATTAACCCTGAAATACAAAGTTCTATTATGCCATATGTGAAAGTATGGACTCATGCAGGAGCTCAAAAAACTCAATATACAAATAGAGACCGTTCAAACTTTTGGCTTGGCATTCCATTTGCTGACTCAGAAGACTTTATGGGTGGTATTTCAACTGTTGGTACAGTTCAAATACAATATACTGGTGACAGAGACGGTCCAGATGAATTGAAAGCAAAGAAGTTTACAAAACCAATAGCACTTTTCACGGAAGATGCTCTTTTGAAAATTCGTTCGATGAAACCTGCTGGGGCTCCTCAGATTGGTATAACGACAGCTTCCATCGAGCAGATTTTGGCAGCAGGTCAGTAAGTTGTTCTTGAACTGACTTCTCTCCGTCAAATATTGACAGTACGCCAGTTTTTGACATAGTATTGTATTATAAACTTACCTTTAGAAATATCGGTCAGTTTTGTTGTTATATTTTTGTCAACGTCAAGAACTTTCACCATTTCAGTTATACCAACTTTCTTTGCTTTATGAAAATATTTAGGTTCAGCAAAGACTGCTATTCTATAACATTTTCCATTGTTTGTGTAAAGAACTATTCTATCAATGAACTTGTATTGTTTGTGTGTGTAAACTCTGTTTTGCTTCAATTCGAAGAGATACTCAAATACGTCCATCTTTTTATTCTAAGTAAAATGTCATTTCCGAAAAATAGAAGCGTAAGTGTTTCAAAAGGTTTAATGGCGGTGGCAGATGTGAAGTTAAATTCACCAACTCAAACAAACAGTCAAAGTGTTGTTGTCAATGTCAAAGAAAGAGATGTTGAAGTGGGGAAACCATACGAAGACGAAGATGGTATAACAATAGTTCCTGTAAAAGAACAACCAACATATCCTGAAGTTAGCAGAGACTTAAGTTCTGTTGCAGATATTCGAAATGACTACAAGCAACTTAAAGACAAACTTAAAACTCAGGAGAAGATTTGTCAAGCTTTAGGTCTAATGTTAAACTTGGTTGAGCACAACCCTGTAAAAGTGAACTCATATGTCATCGCACCTCATGAAGTTTTGAAAGAACTATTGAAACTTTTGACAGAGGCAGACGATATAAACATCAAAGAAATAGAACCCGACATTGCTTGCTGTGGTGTTTCATATAATGTCATTGACAAGATATACGTTATGAAAGGAGGTGAAACGTTGAACTTAAAATATAGTTTCCCAGACGTTATAAAAATATTTGACGACCACAACATTTCATTAAAATTTACTTGCTAAGTAAATGGCAGAAGACATAGTGGTTTATACTATTACGACTAAAAACCCTGAGTCATATAATTCTATAACAACAAACTTACAAAGTCCTCAAGGACGATATTGTAAACTGACCTTAAACACGATGACGACTAAAGCCTGTTTTGCTCTTTTGACACCAGAAGTTTTATTGTTGTGAATGGTAAAAAATACTCCTTTGAAGATACTTACTCAGATATACCACCAACAGGTTTTGTTGACTTATTTAATACTTTAAGGACGGATGTAACATGTGCTGCAACTAGAGCAGGTTTCATTATGTTTGGATGTCCGACTGAGTTTAGTATAAACGATATGAGCTATAATACAAAACTTATATCTGGTTTTTACTACCAACAGTTTCCTATAACAGGAAAAGGTGTCATACAAGGTCTATCTGTTCCATTGACTTTAAGTACACCTATTTTATATATTGTTTCAAACTTAGGTTCAAAGTGCTATTCGAATGTCGACAGAAACTACTATGACCAAAAGATACTCATGCGTATAAACAACACTTTCTCTGCTGGTTTGCCTATTGTTCATTCGAATGCAGAGTTTTCAGCTTTAGTAAACTCAAACACTTTAGCAAACATAAACTTAACCTTAGTTGACGCAAACTTTGTTCCTGTAAAACTTTTATGTCCTATGTATTTGTCAATGACGGCAGAAAGTTTCGAATTGGAAGATGCGACTGGTGAAAGTATTGTATTACAAGAACAACTTCAACAACAAATAGCTCAAGAACAACAAATGCAACAAATGGAACAAATGCAACAACAAAGTCAAGAATAAAAAAAATATTTTTTTTTATTTTTATAAAAATGTACAGAATAGACGTTTCAGATTTTTATGACTTCCAAGCCTTCAGAAATATGTGTCCATTTAGAGACTATAACAAAGCAGTCGAGAATTTGAAACGTTTAGTCATTTATGTCGACTCTGCCCCAGAATGTTATGTTATGAAAGAATGGGATGTAGTCTTTAACAAACCAAGAGCGACAATAGTTTCAGAACAAGAATGTAGACAGAAACTTAAGAAAATAAAAGTCGTACAAGTTGGTATGAAGATGTTAGATGCTTGGGATATCTTATTGTCAAACTTGAAGATTTTTCAGTTCGTGGTATAAAGTTCTATACACCATCTCCAAACTTCTATTCTATCTTCACTGGATATAAATATGAACAAGTAGAATGGAAAGAAAATGTTATAGAAGCTTGGTTAGACCATGTCAAAGAAATTATATGCAATGGAAACGAAAGAGTCTATGAGTATATCTTATGTTGTTTTGCAAACATCTTACAACATCCAAGTGCTAAAAATGAAACTGCTCTCATATAATTGGAAAACAAGGAACAGGTAAGAACACTTTCTTTACAGATATCTTATGCAAACTGTTAGAGGGCTATTCGAACCCGAATATGACAAACTTAGAAAACATCTGCGGTAAATTTAACTCTTCAATAGAGAATATGAAACTTATAGTATGTAACGAACTTCAAAGTATAGATACAACAAAAGTTTTGAACTCGGATGCTTTGAAGAGTCTTATAACAGACAAAGTTGGAGTTGTTGAAAGAAAATATAAGACCAAAGAGTTTGTGAAAATGTTGCAAATTTCATCATGGTTTCAAACAACGCCGTTCCGATGAAGTTAGAAAGTTCTGACAGAAGATATGTAGTTGTCAGAACGTCAGTCTCATATGCAAGATACAGAATATTTTGACGACTTAGCAGAAACTTTGACATCTGACTTTTACAACCACTTGTTCTCATATTTCATGACATTAGATATTTCAAAGTTCAATCCAAGACAAATTCCACATACCGAAGAGAGACAAACATTGTTAGAAGCAAACAAGAGTGTATATGAACTGTTCATAGATGAAACTGACTTTGAGTGTTTAGATGAAAGGTCATTGTACGATTCGTATAAACAGTATTGTCAAGAGTATGGTTATATGACAGCGTCTAAACGAACATTCTTGGCAAATGTCAAAAGTCTTTTAGACGTTCAGAATGGTGTATATACAAAGAAAAATTTTTCTGAGTAAATTTTAAAAAAAATATTTTTTTTATCCGATAGAAAAGATGACGAAATTCATCTCAGTAAACAAGTACATGTCAGGACTTAAAGAAGAACTAGACCCATTCACATATTTGAATGTTTACTTCTACCATTTTGAAAAGTCTTCATTTGACAAAGTTTGGAACATCGAACCAGTTAAGTTTGCTATTGTGACTAAAAATGGTGCGAAATTTGAAGACTTAGACATAGAAGGTTTGTTAACAGTCAAAGAAAGTTTTGACAGAAGGTTTTCAAACCTTAAAGAAGGCAAAGCATACAAACTTGTTATACCTTATGAACCAAAGAAAGCAGACGACTATGAATATTATGAGTCTAAGATAGTTGAAGTTCAAGGTAAATTGGGTAAAAAGATTTTAGAGTCTAAGCCAGTGTTTGCTCCTAAAGAGGAAGAGAACATTGACATTGACCCAGAAATGTTCTAAAAATAAAATTTTATTTTTACATGTCAAATTTCTTTTTCTCTGGCTCTGGTTCTTTCTTCTCTTCTTCTACTTTCTTTTCTTTCTTTTCTCTCTTCTTCTTTCTGGTGGAGTTATGTCAAACTTCTCAGAACCATATTTTTGTAAAAGTGCTTTGTCATTTAATAGCTCTTCTATTCTGTTTTCTATTTCATTTTCAAGAACAGCGCATGTGTCTTCTTTGCATTCTAAGAAGTTTTGTTGGACTTCATCTCTCCAAGAGGCGTCATCTCTGTCAACAAGTCTGTCATTGACAAATTTTAAGACTTCTCTGCTTAAGGTTTTATGGTTCTTGTCATATTCCCAGAAACAGAACTTTAGAACAAATTCACCTTTCTTGTTTACACTATGTAAGATTTTATGGTCGACAGATGTTTTGCTGTCGAAAAGCTTGTCTCGAATATAGATAGCGAAATCGCTAGACATTTCCTAAAAGATAAAAATTTTAATTTTTCTAAAAATATGTTAGAAAAAAAGTTTGCTGACATTGACAAGAAATTTGAGAATGTTTTAATAAGAACAAGAGGAAGTTAGAAAATGCTCAGATAAAAACCATACATGACAAGTTCCTATTTGCTCAGAATGGTATAACAGGTCTAATCGCACCACCTGGGTCGGGTAAGACTTTCACTTATCTTAAAATGGCTGCACAACAACAAGAACTAGATGAGAAGAACCCATTCTATGAGTTAGTAGTCATTTGTAGTACTTCTGGTCAATTTGACCAAACCGTCAATTCGTTCAAAGATATTATAAAAAAGTCTAAGTTAGTATCTATAAAAGACTCTGAGTTGTTAGATTGGATAAAGAAGTACCAAAGAAGAGTTTTGAAGTACAATGCTATAAATGAGTATATAAACTCGAAGTTTAAAGACCCAAATGAGGAAATGCAGAGAATATTAGAGAAGAAACACTTCAGAAACAAACAGAAAGAGATAGAATACATTTCGAAGAAATTGCAATCTTACGATTGGAAGACTTACCCTCATAGATGTCTTCTTATCTTAGATGACTTTGCTTCTCATCCTTTGTTAAAGAACAGAGAACAAGACATGTGTCGAATTCTTAAGAAGCTCAGACACTTTAACATCTCTGTTGTCATTTGTGTACAGACAGCCAAGAGTTTAAGTAAGGATGTAAAGAGAATACTTACTGACATTGTACTTTTCCCCGGATTGTCCGAAGACGATTTCATGGAACTTATGAAAGAGTCCATGGCAGGTAAGTTTGACAGACATGAACTATGGGAGAAGTACAAAGTCATACAAGACCCTCATACTTCTTTCAGAATTCACATCTACGCGAACAAAGTTCAAATTGTAAAAAGTCAAGCTTGAAAAATGTAAGTGTTTTAGTCTTAGTCTGTTGTGGTGCTGGGGCTGTCGGTTCTTCTGGCTTTGGAAGACATTCAGGAAGAGGTACGTCGGACATTCGTTTGTGTCCTGTCGGAAGGAAGAACTTTTCCTGTTGGAAGGAAGAACTTTTCCTGTCGGAAAGAAAAATTTTTCCTGTCGGAAGGAAAAACTTTTCCTGTTGGAAGGAAAAACTTTTTCTGAAGGTCGGCCAAAAAGTTCTCAATTTTCGAAAATTTGAATGGTTTACGGACGGACAACTGGAAAAATTTTTCCTGTCGGAAAGAAAAATTTTTCCTGTTGGAAGGAAAATTTTTTCCTGTTGGAAGGAAATTTTTTTCCTGTTGGAAGGAAAAACTTTTCCTGTCGGAAGGAAGGACTCGGAATGCCAGAAGGACTCGGACAAGACAATTTACCTTATAGAGCTACCTGAGCCATCTTTGGTGTCAAGCTTGAAAAATAAATGGTTCATTTACTCTTCCTCTTTGAAGTTGTCAAAATACTCTGTTATCTTTTCTTTCAGTAGCGGTAAGTCTTCTTTGAATGTAAGTATTGTACAACCTTTCATATCATAGTGTGTTTGAGGTAAAGTATCTTGAACTATCTGTTTAACATCTTCATTTGGTGTCATTGAAATCGGTAAGTTTTCGCGATAGAACCAATTTCTGTCAGATTTGTAAATCTTAGCTAAGTCGTAAAAGCTTTTGTTGTTTCTTCTGACTAAATGCAACATAACCATATCTCTGTCTTCTTCATTTTCCATCTCTTCAGTGTAAATCATATACTTATAGTTCTTTTCCTTTCCTTTTGGTACCGAACGTGGTATTCTTTTCTGTATGTTTTTGTCTTTTGCTTCAATGACTTCATCTTTTGCTTGAAGTTTCTTTTCCATCTCTTCACGTTCTTGTCTATGAATTTCATCTAACATCATGAAAATATAACAAGCATAGCGAGGCGAAGCCCACATTGCAACAGCATTTACAAGAAGTCTATGTACATACCAGCCTCTCAAACCATTTGGCAAATTTTGACGATTTTCGTACGGAATCTCGACCCTCGGTTTTCCGAGGGTCGCAAACATATGAGGAAATTCTTCTAAAAGTTCTTTTGTCTGTTGGTTTTCAAACCAATGAAATGCTTGCTTTGTAGAACGAAGAGCATTCAAAATACTTTGCATTTGGTACATGTCATCTTTGACCGAACGAATGAGACGTAACTGTTTGTTAAACTGTATGTACTCGTATTCTTCATTTATATCTTCATGAACGATAGCAGTTGTTGTGTTCTCTGTTGTTGACATTTCTGTTCTTACATACAAAATAAAAAAATAAAAAAAAATAAAATTAGCGTTATTTTCTGGCTTTCACAAAAGACCAAAAATAAACGCTTTACATGTATTTTTCAGCAACTTCGTCAAATAATTTTATAGCTTTGTCGATCTCATCTACTTCAAACGTTTCTTTACCTTTCGTGGGAGCACCATACATTTTCTCAAACTTTTCAAGTAGTTCTGTTTCTGCAGCTCTCATATCGTTAACAAACGCAACCTTAACTCTATTGACTATACTGTCATATCTTTGAGTTATATTAAATGTTCTTCCTATCTTATATCTCTTTGTATTGAAGTCCTTCGGTTTCTGAACGATGTAAAGTAAGCCCTCACTGCAACGTTCCGTATCGAATGAACCATATGTTATGAAATTATATCCAACAACTGGGTCAATCCAGAACAAAACTATTGGTATAAGACTTTTGTCTATAAGATATGTTCTTGTTCCATAGAATCTTACCGATATCATCAGCTCAGGATTTTTTGTCAAAATTTTCTGAGTTGAAGCATTTTTAACCCAGTCGTGTGCTTTCTTTCCTTCAGATAGTGTTAAAATGTCTGACAAAGAATATTTGTTGTATTTCTTTGAGTATCTTACGTTTAAATCACCAATTCTAACCACCTTGGTCTCATTGTCTATCTTTTTAACTGTTTCAAACTCAGTGCTTGTCATTTCCTGTTCTTACATACAAAATAAAAAAAAATATTTTAAAAAAACTAACGTTAATTTTATTTTTTCTATCTTGTATAAAAGATATGATTTCATAGAGTTTTTTTACGATTTTCATAGAGTTTTGGCGACCCCTGTAAAAGTCGGGGTCGCAATTTTTTACGATTTTCATGAGTTTTTTTCACGATTTTCGTACGGAATCTCTAGACCGAAAAAAACCGGGGTAGCAAACATATGAGGAAATTCATGAAATTTGGTCATGTTTTTCAGCAAAAATATATTTTAGGTGGAACCAGGTCCCTCGGTCACTCGGTCAACTAACATCTTTTTGAAAATGGTGACAACATGACATTTTGACAACAGTCCAGGAAAAAGACTTCATCGTATATGTTTTGTCATGACTTCTTCGTCAATGAGTGTAAATGACCCAAAAATATATTTTAGGTGAAGAGGTGAGATCTCACCCGTTTTCTCACCTCTTTTCTCACCCCACATGTCCTTACTGAAAAAGTACGTGTTCCATATACCATTTTACTCAGAATTCAATAAAAATATATTTTAGGTGAAGAGGTGAGATCTCACCCGTTTTCTCACCTCTTTTCTCACCTCTTTTTCACAAGCGTTTTACATGAATTGTACGATGTATATTTGAAATTCTAAACAATTTCGTAGCTTCGATTTCTTCGCTGAGGATATCGAATGTTTTAACAATGCCGAAGGTTTCTTTATATTTCTTCTTGACATCTGAAAGAAGGAAATCGTCAGCAGTTGGATAGTTTTTGTTCAGAAATGTCAATATGTCCATTTTATCTTCTGCTGGTTTCTCTGCTTCTTTCTTTAAGTCAGCATAGTCGTTTCGCATACGTTCTATCTCTTTGACGGAGTAGTTATATTTCCTCATTGCTGCTTTACATTTTGAACATTGTGGGTTCATTTTTGCGTTATATTCTGAAACCTTACCTGCAAGTATGACTAAGGCGTCAATGGTTTTCTTTAACTCAAAAGTTGCTGGTTTTATCTGTTGGTTCCATACTTTACCTCTTCTATCTTTATCTCTTATCTGCCATACACATTTTGCAACTAACGAAACAAAGTTGTCGTAGGTCTTAAATTCTTCAGATTTGTATATGTCAGAGATGTTCTTATATAACATGTCGCAATCTTTGTCCATAACTTTGTGGTTGCAATGAAATCCAAGAAACTCATAGTTTACCTTACGTATGAACTTCTTGGTTTCTACTGAGTCAGTTGCTTTGACTTCTATTTCATCGAATTCTGGAATAGTAAGCTTTTGTTGTTGTATTTCAGGAAGTTTAGGTAGATGGTCAATAATATCCTGCATTTCATAAAGATATTCTTCATTTGTTTCATCTTTTGCAGTGCAATCTAAATCTCCTTGGAGAAGTTCTTGCTTTATCTTCTGGATTGTTGTTTCGAAAGTATATGAAGAAGGAATGAAGCTTTTCATCTCTACTAACATAGATGTTGGGTTCATGACTAACGAGTTTGGTGAAGTTGTTGCTAACATGTTCTTACAATAAAAATAAAAAAATATTTTTTTTAAAAAAAAACTAAAATATATTTTTTATCTTAAGGAAATTCATGAAAATTCAACGGGTGAGAAAAGAGGTGAGAAAACAGGTGAGATCTCACCTCTTCACCTAAAATATATTTTTTGGTCCGGGAACAACAAAATTCAAGAGTTTTGGTTGAAAAATACGATGGCGCCAAAAGTGGCTCGACCTCAAAACAAGCATTTTGTGAAGAATATACCAACCGCCGGAATTCCGGCGGTTGCTTTTTATACAAAGTTCAAGAGTTTTGGTTGAAAAATACGGTGGAGCCAAAAATGGCTCGACCTCAAAACAAGCATTTCATGAAGAATATACCAACCGCCGGAATTCCGGCTATTGCTTTTTATACAAAATTCAACAGGTGAAAGAATACGATGGTAGAAAAAAATGGTTCATTTACTCACAATATTTTTGTACAAAACGACCCCAAACTTTTAACCTCTTTTCTGCAGCTTCAAATGCTATCTTAGCGAGTTCATATTCTCTAAATTCTCTCTTTAAATCTTCTTGTTCCCATTGGTCTAGTTCGTATGGAGAATCTCTATAACCAGAACATATCTCACGTTCATGTTCTATTTGTTTTTCGCGCATTTTTCTAACTTCTTGTTCGAACAAAGGTTTTGCATTCTCTGCTGTATCTTCAAGTTCTTCTTCATCTAATTTCTCATGAACTTTCTTGTCTATGGAGTCCAGAATTTTTCCAACTGCTATGCAATATTTTGGAGAAGCCCACATTGCTATATAGTTTATGAGTCTTGGGTCTACATACGTTCCTCTAACCTGTTTGATTTCATCCGGAATTCCTGCATGAAGTTTGTATAAAAAGCAACCGCCGGAATTCCGGCGGTTGGTATATTCTTCACAAAATGCCTTAAAATACTCTTCCCAGGACTTATTTTCCAACAACTTTCTAAAGTCTTTCCTAAACTGCTGACACATATTTGTTGCATTTATATAACCATCCTTGTCTCTACGTAAGACTTCAATACCGTTGTAAGTGCCTTTTGTGAATGTTTCGCCATTAGATTTGTTCGTGAACGTTTTTGCTTCGACTGTCATACTGTTCTTACAATAAAAATAAAAAAATATTTTTGGGTGGCTTAACCGTCGGACATTCGTTTGTGGCTTAACCGTCGGACATTCGTTTGTGGCTTAACCTCAAAACAAGCATTTTGTGAAGAATATACCAACCGCCGGAATTCCGGCGGTTGCTTTTTATACAAAATTCAACGGGTGAAAGAATACGATGAAGAAGTCATGACAAAACATTTACGTTCATGTTTGACAAAACATTGACGATGAAATCATGACAAAACATTGACGATGAAATCATGACAAAACATATACGATGAAGTCTATTTCCTGTGTTGTTGTCTAAATGTCATGTTGTCTCATTTTTTCAGAGAAGTTAAAATGACCTGGGGACCGAGGGACCTGGGGACCTGGTGACACCTAAAAACCACTTCACCTAAAATATATTTTTCAGTACTTTTTCAGCACTTTTCCGTAGTTGTATATGAAAGACAATTCGAGATAAAAGTCATAGTACAATGGAATAATATGCTGCACACCGTTTGTTGTGAACCAAACTTGAAAGTCAGAGAAACTGTTACTAGGTGGTTCGTAGAATTTAGAAGCAAAGTCATAAAAGTCCTTACCAATACAAAGAAAACTGTTGTTGCTTGAACTGAAACTTGCATGACACATGACATTTTGAGGGTCGAACACGTTTCTATAAACTGTCAAATCTGCTGGCGGGAGTATAAATTTAAATGGACCATCTGGTGGCAATGGTTCGTTCTGGTTTAGTAACCGAAGAAATTGTGCCCAAGAACGTTTGTCTACTCCCCAATATAAAAACTCTGTATCTCTTGGAGGGTTAATTTCAATCTTTTGAAATGAAACGGTGGAATTCATCTTATCGTATTCTAGTTTCAGATAGTATGTTCCATTTAGTAAAGAGTGGTATTTTTCTTGAAATTCCCAGTAGTATTTGTTCATTTGAGTTTGAAAGTCATTTAGAGTTTTTTCAAGACTTTCGTCTGAACGAATTGTAAAGATTTTCATTTCGTCAAATTTTTCTATTAGACCATCAGAACCTTTATACTGACCATGAAAATATACTGCGAACATAAACGCGTTCGTTCTATTTGAAAACAAAACTCTTCTAAATCCTATTGCCTTTGCATCTGAAGGACTTTGAAGCCAACGAATTGGATAGTCAAACCTGTATCTTCGGGATGAAATTTCTTCATCTGAAATATTTCTACCAGCATTTGTAAAGATATAGTCTAACGGTTTTGTATCTGCTACTTTTGTTCTTTGTTTTTCAACCTGAAGCATTTAATATATGTAAAAATATACTGTTTTAAAAAATGTTTTACTTCATGCAACGTTTTTATTTCATGCAATGTTTTATTTCATGCAATGTTTAACTATTTCACCATCTTCTTTAACAGCCCAGTACTTACGCTTGGAGAAGACATGAACTTCGGAAAATACCTTATCTAGCTTAAAAAGGCCCATCTTTTCACCGACCATACCCATTTCAATGAGTTTGTTATAGCCTTCTTCGTTCGTCATGAGCGCATCGATGTTCTCATAGTATACCACAACTTTGGATTTAACCTCTGAGAAGAATTTGTTGTAGTTGTCAAGGACTGCTTTTGCGAACTGAGGATAAGACCAATGTTCGACAATAGGTTTTAATGTGGTTACTAAGCCACCTTGACCTTCGGTAAACTCGTATTTCAAAACGAAAGGAGAAAACCTTTCAACAAAGTTGTCGACCTTCTCATAGTGTTTACTCTTCATCTTTTGAGGTTTCTTAATGGAATATCCCCATGTCGAATTCATAAGCAATTTGAGTGTCATTGCAAGTTTGGGGTTTGAAGCTTTCCTAATATCATACATTTGTTGTATGACTTTTCCAACTGTATAGTTCCTTCCCGGGAACTCGCCATTTTCGTTTGGAATTCCAGTTGGAATATATTGGACGAACCTCATGTACGCAGCGTTAAGGTCGACATAGTATATTTTTTCATATGAGTCGAACTTGTCGCATCCAATCGGCCCAGTTTTTGGAAATTCAAGCGAGTCTCTTATCTTCTGAGAAACATCTCCTGTTATCTCATAAACATCGTCGAAGCAATCTGTTTCATATAAAACCTTCTGACCTAACTCAGAAGCTCTCCAATACAATTTGACGTCAATTGGATGTCTCAATGGAAGTTTGTTTATAGCATCTTGAAGTTCTTGCAACCTCATTGGAAGTTCTTCTGGTTCAGGTTGGTATCCGAACAATCCAACTCCTTTTGGAACTGTGTACTTCTTTTGTGCTAGAACTTTGTCTGGAACAACTTTTGGTCTTGCTAACAATGAAAAGTTTGTTTCATCTTTTGGTACAAAAGTTTCTGTCAGCTTGTCATCTGGAATTGGTTCCAACAAACCTTTCTCGAAAAGAATGTTAACAGCTCTGACAATGTTGCACTTGCCTTTTCCGAACAATGGGTTTGTAAGACTTTCGTTCAACATGAAGTGGTTGTGGACAAGTACAATCTTCAACCATGGTAAGTCTTTGTCAACAACATAGTCGTCATGTGAAGAACCTTTCTCAGTCGGAATGTTGACTCGGATATTCACATTTGCCAACGGTGCAACTTTTGCCAATTGACCTCTGAGAATGTACCTTGTTTTCACACATGACTCAAGATACTTCATCTTCTCATCTGTAACAAGACCAGAGTTCCTGAGACATGTAAGAATACAAGGTTCATTGACAATTGTTTCAATTGAATTGTAAATTCCATACCTTGTCAGGTTAATGTCAGACTTATTTCTGAACGGGAAATACCCAGCATGTTGTCTGACTGCTTGAGGGTTGGGTTGGTACCATTCGAACTTCACGCTTGCAATCCCTTCAATTGCATTCAAAATATCTGAGTCGGAGTCAAACATTTGTTCTCTCTTTGTAGTCTTGAAAGCGTCAAGAAGTTGTGCGGCTGTTGTGACATTGCCATGCGCATAGTAAATATGACCATCTAAATCTGTTACGGTTAGTCTGAGATTGTATCCTTTCTTATTTCCGTCTTGTATGGCAGCAAGTACACCCATGAAGCCTTCTTTGTTCTTTCCTTCGTCAAAGTTTACTGTAAAGGTTCGCCCAGATGTAATTTTACTTCGAACCTCACGATACTTTTCATATGCATATCTTGTTCTTTCCATGGGAGCATGTGCGTCTTCACCCTTCCCTTTTTTCCGTCTCAAAGGATGCAATTGTTCGTCATGTTTCCAGTAGAATCTGGCAAAGCCGTCGTGTCCTTCAACTTGAGGCTCACTAACATCGAAAGGCATGTTCATAAGACGCTCTTCCTCTAACCTCTCTAGTCTGTTTGGATAATTTGCGCGTGCTGTTTCCATGTCCATTTCGTAGCGAAGACCAGACAATTTGTCATAGACTTTTATGGGTCTTCCCTTCCTATATTTAAACTTCTTCGAAACTCTCCAACCATATCTTTGCAACTCTGCTTTTATTCTAGCAGACTTTCTATCCATTCTATATGGGGGCATTTCTATAAAAATAAAAAAAATGTTTTTTCTTTACTTTACATAACCACCAGCTGCCATAAGTCTTTGACGCCAACCCATACCAGCTAATGAAGGTTGACTTGGTTTAGTCTCCAAACTAAACTTTGGTTTTGGTTTATCTTCAGTTTTTGGCTTCCCTTCTTCTATTGGTTTTTCGTCACTTTTTGGTTCATCTGACTTTACCTCACTTGCTGGTCTAGTTGTGTCGTCAACATCTTCATAAATATCATATGCCATTTGTTTCTGTTTTCCTTTCAACTTTTTGTGTTTGTTGTAAAGTTTAGAATATTTCGACTCTAAGTCAATGAGATGTTCTATAATGAACTGTTGGTCAGTGAAGTAAACTTTTCCATCTGTTGTCTCGAAAGCTCCCACAGACTTCAATATTTTATTTGTGAGAGTCTGTTTCTTTTTTGAGATACTAGCCGTTCCATTTCTATGAAAAGTGACTTTGTAGTTAGGGTTTGTATTTCCAGACCTGGCACTTTCTATTATTGAATTTTTATCTTCATCTGTAAGTTCTTTGACAGGTTTTGACAATGGTTCTGAACTTTTTGTTTGTGGTGTCAAATCTACCGTTTCAACTTCTTCGGTCATTTCATCTCAGTAAAAAATTTTAGTTTGGTTTGTTTTCAACTGGTTGTTTAGGTTTTTTATGTCGGTCTAAAACTTCCTGAGGTATATGAAAAACTTGACAAACACGTGGTTTAAAAGGTGGTCTTCCATGACCTATTCTGTCTAAAGCTGCGTTGTTCATTTCATCTCAGTAAAAAATTTTAGTTTGGTTTGTTTTCAACTGGTTGTTTAGGTTTTTTAAGTCGGTCTAAAACTTCCTGAGGTATAGGAAGAACTTGACAAACACGTGGTTGTGTAACTGCTGGAAGCCGACAAATCCATCTTGAGCCCATTTGTCTCAAAGCTGTATTGTTCATTTCATCTCAGTAAAAAATTTTACATTCCCCACGTTTGAGGTGGTTGCGGTTGGTTGTTGTTTACCCACTGTTGTGCATGGTTATATCCTCTGTTAAAGAATCTTTCACCTTGGTCCATATAGTGCCCTGCTTGGTTATAGTAGTCATTTGCTTTGTTATAGTAGTTTCCTGCTTGTCTTCCTACATTGTCCATCCATCCTTGAACTTTTCCTCTTGTTTCAGGATTTGGAATAAGATTTGCTGCATCTCGTGCTACATCCCAACCTTTCTGTACGGTTTGTATAATAGGTTGTGCTTTCTCTTTAAGTATACCTAAAGTACTCAAAATCTTCCTTCCAACTCCAAATACACCTCTGGCTATTGTTCCCACTGCTGGCAAAAATCTAGATGCGACTCCTGCTAATGCGCCAAATAAACCCATTTCTTATGGGTTAAAAATGACGAATCCAAACAAGGACCCGTATGTTTCTAAAGCAACAAAGAAAGCACTCATGGTAAAAATCTTTAGTTCAACACCAAATGCTTGGTTTATGGATATCTTGGAAAACATTCCGAGAGTTAGAACAGATGGACCACCATACTGGCTAATATTTGTTGGTCAAAACACAAGATACTGTGAAGCCATACCATTATGGTCCAAAAATATTTTAGATGTGAAAACTGCTTTGACAATATTCGTTGACAAATACCATCCAACAAAACTGACATCTGACTGTGAAAGTTCTTTCAAATCAGACGATATTAAAAACTATCTGCGTTCAAAAAATGTAAACCAATATTTCATTGTCGACCAAAACCATTCTGCTCTTGGTGTCATTGACAGTTGTATAAAAATCTTAAGAGACTTAAATCAACCACAAGGTGGTGAGGTAGATGAAATGTCATATGACGACAAATATAGACACTTCTCCATGGCAAAGATGAGACAAGTTTTAAATATTTACAATAGCCGTAAACAAAAAGGTTTGGGAAACCACTCCCCCGAAGAAATGAAAAACAACCCTGACTTAGAGAAAGACTATATATTTAATAGTTTAGTCAAAAGAGACAAACAAGAAAGAATGCCAGGCTTCAAACTTCAGAAAGGTGACAAAGTAAAAATAGAAATACCTAAACGCGACCCATATGAAAATACTATTGACTATGACAACAACAAGTACCCGACAGGTACTCACATTCGTGTTCGTAAAAATAGAAGAAAGTATACAAGAGAATATTATGAAGTTTTAGGCAAACATGGCAAAATGTACAGACTGCAAGCAGAAGATAAAACTACTATTGTCAGACCTCGTTTCAAACTTGTCAAAGTTCAAGGTGGTATACTTTCAAAGACAGTTCCTAACAAATATAAGACAACTCCTGACGAATATGCTAAAGAAGTTGAAAATGACGACTAAGCAATTCTATACCATGCGTAAACTGTCATGTAAGGTGGCATGTAGTCTTTACTTTGTCCCGTTGTTTGCGTATACCCTGAAACGCGATGTGTATGGTTTCCTCCTCCCTCAGTGTTACTCCAGTAACAATCTATAGCAAACTTAACGTTGTCTTTAACATCATATCCTTTACCTTTTATCATTCCTGACCAATCCCAATATCTATGCTTATGCCAACCTGCTTGAGATGTACTTAAATCTACGTAGTGACTGTGCGCAGGTAGGTTTTCACCTGAAATCGTTTTACTTCCACCTGTTTCCTTTGAAGAGTTTGCACAATACAAAAACCTGTCGACTATTTGAGTCCATGCACCAACACCAAACGTTACTTGAGGACCTCTTGCTTCCATAGATGTATAAATAGAACCTACTGGGTTCATTAAATCAAACATATGAGATATTATAGGATTGTCTCTTTTGAACTTAAAATATAGTGCAACTATTTCAGGTTTCTTCTGGTTTGTGTCAGAATATTTTTTATAATATAATCTTATGTTTTCAGGGTAGGTAAAGTCTTGACTATAATATTTATTTCTGTCATCTTCATAATAGTATACTATTCTCGTTTTTTCTATTGCATTATATCTTTTATATCTATAAAAATCTAAATATAATGTTAGCTTTTGTTCATCTACATGTGGTTTCTAACGTCATCTCCATAGTCATAATAATATGGTGCTGGAGCTGGGTCAGGCAATGTCATATCTGCCATTTCATAAACTCTTAAATATTTCTTTTGTTCGTCTCCATATAAGTTTAAGTAGCAGTTGTTGTCTAATGGAACTTTAACTTGTGTACCATCATTCTTTATATAGCTTACATACATTTCATTGTTATTTTTCGGAATGAGTTTATACCGTATACCATTTTTTAAGGAATGTACAAACTCCCATCTAAAATATTTGTTTTCTTCATAGACAGAAAAGTCACCAACCATAGTTTCAATATTTTTTGTTCCAACTAAACTTTGGTATATTTCATTGACATATGTTTTATCTGCTTTCTTTTCAAGGCTAACGTTTAAGTCTGTTATTTCAGAAGATGTATGTGTATGTCCAACGTCACTTTTCCTGTTTAAGGTTTCTTGTAAGTTTGTAATATTTGCAATGGTATGTGTATGTCCAACGTCACTTTTCCTATTTAAGGTTTCTTGTAAGTTTGTAATATTTGCAATGGTATGTGTATGAGTCTTTTTAGAATATTCGTTTTCAGCTCTTGTCACTTCACTTGACATTTTATTGTCAACATATGTTTTGTCTGCTAGTTCAGGATGAGTATGTTCTTTTGTTGCATATGTTGCATCTGCTCTGTCATGTTCTTCTTGAACTTTTTCAATGACATACTCTTTGTCAGCTTTGTTGTCAACATCTGCTTTTGTTGCATATGTTGCATCTGCTCTGTCATGTTCTTCTTGAACTTTTTCAATGACATACTCTTTGTCAGCTTTGTTGTCAACATCTGCTTTCAAAAGAAGTTCTTTTATAGGTTTCTCGTTTAAAGTTCCTTTTGTTGGATTTATACAGACAGTATGGTTCTTACTGTCTTGAAACAGAAACTCATCTGTCATTGGGTTTATCGTCAGTTTTAAGTTTCCTTCTTTCAATGACTCAGATATCTTAGAATAGTTTGAAAAGTTTGTTGTGTTCTTATTTAGAGCTTGTACAATGAGTTGTCGGTTGTGTTGTATTTCTCTCATAGACGCTGTTTCTTTCGACATTTTTATTCTAGATAAAATATGCTTTCAATAGAAAAAGAAAATTCAAGAGTTGCTACAACTAAACCATTAGATGAACTTTTTACTAATGTCGGTCAAAAGTTTGAGACAGAGACCGTAAAGCATGAAGGCTATCGGTTTGACTACCCATTGAGATGGTTAAGAGACCCATCCGTCACAAAAGCTGTTGGCTTTCGTAGAATGAAGTTCATTTCAGAAGCCATACATGGTTTCCCATTTACGGTCGGTTTTGAAGTTCGATACTATAACAAAGAAAAACGTACGTATGAGAAATTGTACAGGGAAAACTTTTACAAGTTAGTTTGCTTGTAAACTTAGAAACAACTCTTCAAGCTTTTCAAGAAAAAATAAACGATATCTATCTCGAATATGCAAAACAGTACAACATTGACGAAGGAGAGTACCATCTCGATATTTTATATGACAGGAAAAATGCAACTGTTAAATTCAATAGAATAGAAGACCTTGGAGAAAACGTTTATATTTCTACAAAATATAACAACTTGGCATGGTATAGGTTTATGAGGATGTTAAATCAGCCTGCAGAATATCCAGTACACCCGAACTTTTATGAAGTCGAAAACCCTAATGGAACATATGAAAATGTTTTCGACTCAGATGCTATTATAGTTCATGCTTCATTTTCTGGTGCACAAAACTCTTTTTTATGCTTGGCAAATGACTTTTACGAAAAACCTACAAAGCTATATGAACCACCGAGTGGAAGTATTTCAGACTTTCAAGTATGGTTTACAACAGATGGAAGAAAGAGAATAGTTCCATTATACCATGCGTTTTACTTAGAACTTAGTTTCATATACAACTACTATCGAACGGTAAAAATATAATTTTTTAATACGGTTGAGGTGTTGGATTTGGTTGCCAACTAGACTGTGGTGCAGGTTCAGGCTGTTGTATAACAGGAGCTTGTTCTTCTGGTTCAGGGTCTTTAGGTATAATACCAACGAACTGACCTACTCTTTTACCAATATTTTTGACACCGTTCCAAATTCCTCTTCCTACGGTTTTTATTCCATTCCATATACCTCTTCCAACTCTTCTGAAGAAGTTTCCAATACTACTGAAGAAACCCATTTTACTATATGTAAAAATCTAATGTCCGCCTAGTCTCTTACGTTTCCTTCTGAGTTCCATAGCATTTTTTAACTGGAGCTCATACATTCTATTTCTCCTCTGGTAGAAAACATATTCTGGGTCAACTCCTGTGTTCGCGTCATCTGCATAGAGTTGTTTATATCCCACTTCAGGGTTTGTATAAAACTCTTTCCATCTCATATTTGCATACCATGGTGGTAAGCCTAACGCAGCGTCATTTGACATGGCAGTTTGCATTTGTACATCTGTTGGCACTTGACCATAGTTTGCCATTGCAGTTTGTATTCTAACTTCATTTGGAATATTCTCTGGGTTTGGTTGTCCAGGTTGCTGTGCATTCGCTAAGTTCTGTGCGTCCATTTAATATTAGATAAAAATATCTCTTACGAGTACATATGCTGAACATTTGCAGACATTGGTTCATCTTCATATTCTCTATATCTTTCTGCCACGTCAAATAAGTAAATGACACAATGGAAAAAACCTAAAACAAGTAGTCCTATTTCAAACCACATTTAGTTACCAATAAAATTTCTTTGTTATGACACTTTTTCCGGTTTATAGGACCTCTCTCATATTCTATCTTATCATATCTAAAATCATAGTCATGTATGTCCTCTAACCATCTCATGACACTTTCCAAACCACTTTTATCGGATGTAAAGTAAAAGCATGGATGGTTATGTAAAACGTCTAAAGTTTCTAAAGAGTCTCTCAAAGTCCAGTCTACTTGGTATTGAAAATCGTATGTGTTATAGAACGGCGGGTCTACTATAAAGAAAACATTTTCCTTGTCTTTGTATTTTTCATACAACTCCGTCCAATGACATCTCACAAACTCTATACCCTCAGTATATTTTTCTATGTTCTTTTTGAAAACATTTGTATAGTTAAGATATAAAACTTTTGACATAAGTGTTTCAATGTCATGAACTCTTATAGAACCACTATATAATAGTCTAGAAGATATACTATCCCAGTCAATATACTCTACTTTTTTCAAAACCTCTCTGACAATATCTTTCTTATCTAATGGTATACGTTCCATCTTACCTATAGGTATCTTTTCTTTCAACTCACTCAATATTTTGTTTGTGTCTGGTATATGTTTGAGACGGTTCATATAGTTGTCGAAGTCATTGCATATAATCTTTGAGTTTGGGAATACGGTATGGCACAAATGAGATATATAGAAACTTCCACCGAACAAATCTACAAATGTTAGACCATTCGGTAGTTTCTTAAGTTCTCTCAATAGAATATCTTTACATCTACTCTTATTTCCAAAGAAGGGTAACGGTGGTTTTGTAAAATTCATTTTATATACAATAAAACTGTTTTTTTCCTGAAAAGTGACAGAAAAGTGACTGGGGCTAGAGGGCACGAAGTGCCTGGAAGCCCCACTACCTTTTTTTTTTTTTTTTTTTTTTATTTGATGACAAATATTAATGATTCGATTTTTCCAATGCATTGAATTAATAATGTCAGTATATTGGAAATCTTCGATACATTAAAAGAATATCATATCAATAGGTTCATTTGAAACAAGTCTGAACAAAAACAAAAAGTTATGTGAATAACATAATCTGATGTTCGTGATGTATCAATCAGTTTTGAAGAAGACATAAATTATATTCAATGATTCGAAGTATGTCATACTTTCTTATCAAGAATTGGATCTATTTTGTTAAAATATTGCTTGAATAAAATTTTTTCAATAATCAAAATGAAGAACAATGATAAACACTCTTATCTTGTGTAGGTAATAATGTTATCCGACTTGTGTAGTAATTTGAGCTTAAATAAAGAAAAAATAGATAAAAATTAAAATAAATCTGCAATCGAATATCTCTCCTACAATTCTTGTGCTATTCTAATATAGAATATCAAGTTTAGGTATGTAAAATTGCAAAAATCAATCAATTTGATGACACCCAAAAGTGACAGTTTAAAAATACTTATGTCAGAACTTTTACAAGATATTCTAGATTTCTATTTACCTAATGGACTTCCTTCGGAGGAGGAAATAAAGAAGATGACGGATGACGAGAGAAACCAGCTATTTGACGCTCAAAGTAATGTAATTTCAACTTTTAGAAGAATGGCTATCGCTAAAATGAATGAAATGGAATTAAGAATTATTAAAGCGGTTAATACCCTTTCTAAGCCACCCAAATTACCAACAGAAGAACCAAAAGAAACAGAACAAGTCGAAAAACAAGCTAAAATTGATAATCAGCAAGTTAAACAAGCAGAAACGAAACAAAACAAGAGTATTACAAAAACCCCCACAAAATCACCAGCTAAATCTTCATCTAAAACTCCTAATTCCAAAACTCCAAATCAAAAGCAGCAAACACCACGCACACCAAGGCAGTCACATAATGCAACACCTAAGACAGGGAAATTTACTGAAAAAACAACGAAATTTAAAGAAATTGAAGATCATCTTAATTCAATTAAAACTAAAGTCATGCAGTCACCTCCAGCTAACCCTTATATTCATTAGGGAACTTAATTATACGAATAAATATGTTTTGTTTATTATTAATTATAATTATTTTTTTAAAATACCACAAAATTTAAAGTTTCCATGCATGAAAGTATAGTTAACTTTGGAGAAGATGATACTAATTTCCAATCAATGCAATGAAATTATAATGCCATCATAATTAGTATATTCTAATTAGTATAAGTTGGAAAAATGAGATCAATAATTGGTATATTTTAATTAGAAAAATAAGGAAAAGAGAAGTACCAAAGATCCCAAATTAACCACTTGATCATGAATCTTGATTTTCGGTCAATTCTATTGGCGCTTCGCGCCGATAGAATTAAGACAGTATATATAGTGCTCCCAAAATCTCAGTAGTGAGGGCCCCTCAATATAAAATGTAAACCTCTGTGTATTGAATTGGGATTTGTAAACCTCACTACTCTAATTTTGATTGAGAGGGCAAGGCTCTGGACGCTTAATTTGAGGGCTTTTTTTTCTATGAGATTAAGAAAAGTTTTAAGACGAAGATTTTTACTATCTATATACAAGACAAAGAATAATAATAAATAGTTTTTTTGGAAAAAAAGACGATAGGAATTATCAATTAAATCCAATTGATTTTGGGTCGAAATTAAGGAATACATACTAGCTTCCATGTAGTATCCTCTTTTCGAAATGAAATTTTGTAATTTGGCAAAAAATCCAAAATAAAATTTTGATTTGGAAGAATTTTGAGCTTTGTTACTAGAAATTCAGATTTGTTGTTCTAAAACAATGTGACCATACAAATAATGGAAACATCCAGCAGGAAATGATTTGAATTTGATGGCGAATTAAGAAATTCTACTTGATCTTTTAACGCAAATGGAAAAGCATCCATTTTCTGCTAGTTTGGGATTGCTTTTCGGCTTGTTAATTCATTTATCCATCATACCACGAAAATAATAAACGAGCATTTTTTGTTCAGAAAATTGAAATTGCATTGTTTCATCAGTATTGATGCAGAAACTAACTGTTATATATCAAAAATCATTAAAATGTCTTGATTTTGAGTTTCAAAATATTAATGATTAAAAATGTGACCCAAATTGCAAATTTTTAATAAAACCAAGTAATCCATGATGCATACTGTTATAAATTTATGAGAAAGACAGGACTAACAAAATTAGATGTTTACATTTATTCAATATTCAAAATCTTTATTTTGAATTATCAATATAATTAAATCATATTGCATTTCATGCACGTTTTTTCTCTCAAAAAATTGAATTGCTATTCAACTGCGATTTTGAGATGACTATATATAGGGCAACGATAGGTCAAAAAGGCTTCTCTGATAGATTTCCTTGCCTTTTGGATATGCTATAATATATAGCCTAGCATGATAGGATATGATGTCAAAAGTTAGAACATAACTTAGGATCTTGAGAAAAATGAAAAACAAAAATTACATAAAAAAAGAAAAAATTTATCTAATTTGTTTTTTTGGACCGAATAAGTAATTTTATTGAATTTCAATACGACACATAGATTTTATTATTAGTAATAAATATAATGGTTTACTATTAACAAGGAACCTAAACTAATGAAAATTTGATTTCAAATATTGTATATGATTATCATAGATTACTAAAATATATTGCTATTTATGAGGATATAATATTGATTATTAGTAAATCGTATAAATTTAATAAATATACCATGAATATTGAATGAATTTCTTGATTCATAGGGGTAAAACGCGCTTTTATATGATTTAGACAGAGAATTTATGAGATGTAAATAACACAATAAAGGTTTATATTGAATATTTTCTAAAAATAAATCGAAATTATAAAAAACAATACATTTATTCATTGAAACTACTTGGACAAATATGAAACAAGCATTCAGGCAATACTTTTGAGACTTCAACGCATCTGATAATTTTTATATAACTTCACCTCTTATGCTTAGAGTGGAGGTATTGAGATCGTATAAGTATAGATGAGCTCACATTCAGATATGATGTGTGAACTTCTGTTTTCACTGCAATTTTGAATCAGAATAAACTCAAAACAAGAATAAAATGATATACTCACTCTCTAAATGTGTTCGAGATTTAAAGTTGTATGAATAAAACGATTCATCTTTCGAAGCCTCCCATTTAATGAGAGACTTCGAAAGATGAATGTATTCATGTAGATGAAATACTATATATGACCATGTGTGATACTAAAGATATCAAAATGTTCATTTTTAAGTGCAATAGAAGGGTTATCTCTCGTAAAATCTCAATTTAAGGAAGATTTAGAAAGAACTCCTTTCCTAAGTAGATAGTGTGTGGTTTCTGTCTTTAGGTTGATCAGGAACTATGAAATTAAGTCAGACAGAAAGAAGTTCTTTCCAAAACAGACTCCAAATGAGTTGTTCGAAAAGAACTTCCTTCTGTATATGGATAATTGTAGTTACCGCACTGAAGTATGTGATTGTGATGATGGAGTTCTCGATAAATCTAAAATCGGATTAAGATTAATTGAAAACTCAAGTAATTCTTTGAAATCTTGTGTTGTCTGGCACTATAATAACCAAAGAATGAGAATATTATGTTGAATGATGAGTACGTGTGCTCGGCATTCGCCGAGCGAATTGAGTTTAACGTACTATGAAAAGTGACAAATTTGGGCTTTTTTTCCTAGGGTTATGATCTCTTCCTTTCTGCTCAATACGACAGAAATGAAAGAATGAATTTGTACTCCCTAATTGATTACTACAATCTGTATCTATCTTTAACATAGAATTAGCTGCATTGTGATTTATACTCCAGAATTATTCAATTTAAGATCAACCTCGTAAATTTTAATCATATTGCACCAATACTCCTACGTTGAGATAAGAACATGATTATACATACCAAAGCCCCATATTAAAAATCAAAATTTAGCACCTCCATTATGCAACCACATTATTCGTCGCAAATAAGTATATTTACGCATATTATGATGCATATTCACACAACTCGTATACATGAAAAGTTATTAAAATCAGACAAAATTATTGCAATAAGGAAAAAAAAACAACTTTATTATATATGTTAGTAATGAATTACAAATATTTCTACAAAGAATGCTCAATACTTCATATAATCTTCGAATATTTCTTATTACAAGTTAATACATTTTGACTCGAACATGATAAACAAAAGCTGACACGCTGATTACTACATTTATGAAAATATAGTACGTTTCCATTCATCTGTTTACTTGTTTTTGTTGGAATAAAATCATTTTTTTTTCTTTCATGAAATAAGAATTTTGCTGCGAAAGCAATATCTCTAACAATAATTAATACATTACGTCAACTCTGGAATGAGTATTTATCAAATATGATATCAAAATCAAAAATTAGTTGTTTTTTATGAGTAAAAACGATGTAAATTGATTATTTGACTAATTATCAAATACTTTGATTTTCCAAATTTTTTTCGAAATTGATTTTTTCATGTGAAAATTTAAATTGTTTAATTTCATTTTTTGAAATTTTGAATTTTTTTGGAATTTTGAGTTGATCAATTCAGCAGAATTGATATAATGCTATTGCTTTAGGGCATACCACAAGGTGATGAATAAAAGGTGAACATTAACAAATTATTTTAAATCACAAATATCATCCTCATCAACTTTAATTCTAAAAAGAACTGTACTGAATTATGAAAATGCATGATTTACATTATTAAAATCTTTGAATGAAAATAGTACAAGATAAGTTTTTATTCATTTTTAATTAGATTTAAACGAAAAACTACTCCATATTAAAATTTAAGTCGAGAAATCGTATTTTGTTCTTATTTGTTAGCATTTTGTAGACATTCTAATCTTGAATTAATTTGTTACATGATATTATTAACAAATTTAACTGAAAAAATATGTTAATATGGAATAAACCATGATTATATAAGCTATCAATGCTATATATACATATGTAAAAGATTCATATTAACTCAATTAACAAAAAATGATTTTCATAAAGGTTCAATCTAGGTTCGTCCGAAAATTTTGATTTTTATATAGAAGACATAGTTTCATATACATAATTAAAATTTTCAAACAAATTTGATCATACCATTTATTAAGCAGGATAGATAGTATATTAATTACTATCAGTATAAAAATATAAAAATGATTATATTTAATTATTGAATAATAATTAGTCAAAGAGTTATAAGCCTCAAGTGATCGTTATCACCTTCAATGCACGTATACTTTATTGATTCATAGATATTTAATCTATGTTTGACATGTTGTTGTCGTCATTCGTTTTGTTCCCATTCTTCCTAAGTTAGAATTAGAGAATACACCATCCACATCATCTAATTTGGTCCTCAGCGATAGATTGGTTCATTTTGGAGGAGTCCCATCAGACAGTTTTCGAGCACCAAATATCAAATTTTAATGTATACAAATCTTTAGTGATTTATCTCTTTTATGATGAGTAAAAGGTTTCTGCTCATCAACATTTGATTTCCGACATATATGATTTCTAATTGCAATTATTTACTTTCTTTTTATAATCTAACTCTGTGACTCATACCATAAATTAATTATTGGAAAGTGTCAATATGTTTGGCACAACGCATGGCGGAAGATACCAAACCATGCAGGGAATATGATACGTTTAAGATCTCCGAACTTTTTTTCCAAAAATTTTCTATCGTTGCCCTACCTTATATAGACGACAACACCCACACTTTTTACATTATGAATTTACAGTAAATTAGCATCCTATATTTGTATTTTTTATGACTTAATTTTGATAGTTTTCGTTCAGAAATTTTAATCATATTTTAAGTAAACAAATAGTAGTATTCTTCATTATTTTGTTGGAGCTTTGCGCCAACTAAATAGTGAATAATTCAATTTTTCAAAAAATAATTTAATTTGGCCGAAGGTGGCGTGCTTGCCCGAAGGGCAAACGAAACCACCTGAGGCCCAAATTATATTTGATCAAATATACCTCTTTGCACTGCAGATCAA